TTTGTTGTATCAAAAACAGATAGAACATCAGAGTACACTAATTGCACCTTGGTAAAAGATCTGCAGTATATGAAAATGCAGAAATAAACCTAGCGTTCAAAAGTTTTAAGTCACGTTAAGAAAATAATAGTAAGAAAATAAGAGAAACTATATGAGCACTTTAAAACCACGCATAATTCTGTGATTGCAATAGACTAGGTTGTGGATATTTCAGGAAAAAAAAAACCAAGAAATTGCTATGCTTTAAAGAAGTGTTGGTATTAGATTTTATCCGAACCGTACAGGATCATGAAGAGAAAAAAATGAGCAAGAAAGATGGCTATAACAGTGATAATATTGGGGCAGAAAAAAGGGAGCAGAGTGTGTGCGGTGTAGCTGAGAAAGAATGTTAGTGAGGTGGGTCTAATTAAGGAAAACATATGACATTGCAGTAAACATAATCAAGGAAAAAACAATCATGCACATACACTCATACGGAAAGAGACAGAAAATAAAAGAGAGGGAGGAAGGGAGGGAGGGAGAGATAGAGAGAGAGGAAGATAAATAAGTTTCAAAGTAGAATAGCTCAATTAACAAGTGCAATTAAATTATCAATGCCCACATAACATAACATCAGCCACAGAAATATTAAAACCCAGAAAATTAAACCAAAACCCACATAATTTGAACTCAAAACATATAAACACATATTAACTAAGAACAATTGCACAAAAAAACCCACAAATTTATCGAAAAATATGAAAAAAAAAAAAATCAACAGCAAAAACACAACGAAATCATTTCAGTATGTGTGAAGGAACATTGAGGTAGTGTCAGCAAGCAATAAACTTTCAAGCTAAGAGAGAGTGTATTTTTAAATTTGGGAACCAAAGAACAAAGTCAGAATGCAAGCTTCCTAATTGTATAAGCAACTGAAGATAGTGGAAAGAATAATGAAGATATATTATATGAGAAACTCGGAACTACTTTAGTGAGAAAGAATATGATGGAGATAGAACACAAATAGATTAACCTTGTTATTGTAAACTATCCCTAGAATGACACAAGCCCTCAATTAGAAACTTATTAAAACTTTCAGCAGATGGACCGTAATCTCAGCATACAATTGATTAACAGAATGAATTAAAGTTATAAGTTAGTGTTCAGTAAAGAAGACATGATCATGTTGCAATTAAACAGAGACACATGACTCAAGGATATCCAATGCTTCAGAGTACCGCTCAGTAGCTATGTATCTAAAATTTCATCAAACCAACTGCATACATAAGCACAAAGAAGGAAGCAAACAAACAAGGACTGTAGGATAGTAGGATATGCATTATCACCATCTCCATCATATGGTATGCATTAGCAATAATTGATTTTTTAATGAAGAGAGAAGGAAAAAATCACTAATATAAGTCTGGCTCAAGTATCAATAGTATGGGGAAGACTGTAGGATAGCAAGCAGCGGAGAGGGAAAGGCAGCAACCAGTAAGAGAGGGGGGAGAAACACTAGGAAGCACTCACAACAAGCAGGGGAGGGGGAAAGGCAATGGCAATGGCAGGCAGCAGGGAGGAAAGAAAAAATGAAAAGAAAAAAAAAAAGATTAAAGTCCATGACTCCAAGTGAAACTTAATTGCACTAATCATAGGGCAGCAGACAGGGGAGGGGGAAAGGCAATGGCAGCCAGCAGGGAGGAAAGAAAAAATGAAAATAAATAAATAAATAAAATTAGAAAAGTGTCATTAATCATCAATAGTTCATTAACTGATTGATAGGAAAGAATAAACATAACATATTTAAATTATAAACTAAGTTACATAACAAAATTTTGCTACAAAACAAGCAAAAAATTGTCTCAAGTTACAGAGCATATGCTTGTACTCTCAGATTTGGACTCGAATCGGACTCCATCGGACTTTTCGCAGAGTCCAAGTCCGATCCACCTCTGTAGGGAATATTTCAAGCATTACCCCAAACTTGAACCCCACTGTGATCATACACTTAAGCATGGTGGCGTCCAAAGGGAAGGAAGCTAGAGCAAAAGAGTCGCCAACAAGTTTTAGAAACTTGTAAACCGTTCACAGGATGAAGGTTACACCCCTTAACGATCCAGGAGATCGTTAACTCCAATATGTCTGGAACCAAGACTAGAAGTTCGGGGATGAGGGTACAAATTCAATCTAAAAGAGAAAGAACTTGCCCTAATAATAGGCCTCTACTTTATTCTTCTCGTATTCATGTGCGCTTTCTGACTAACATGCAATCATTAGGTTTACCCTAAACCTGTTTAATCTATGTTGGTTGAATATTAATACACAAATAAATCTATTTTTGGCAATCACTTGAATTATAATCAAATTAACCTAAACAAGATTATTAATTATTTTATTAAGCGTGATTACAAGTACCAATTCCCTTTAAACATACATAAAAGACGTGATCAAACAATAACAATAATAATACATCAAGCAACATGATTATAATCATAATAATAATAATCATCATAAATCATTATCATCATGTTTAAGCATAATAATAGCAAGATCCTAGGCATGATACTAACAAGATTAATAACAAACCCTGGCATGTCACTAAACATTAAAGATTGAAGCTTTAGCCCTGACATGATACTAACATGCTATCAATAAAGACAATAAAAGGCATCACAGAAATCATAATTGATATTATATTCTTTACCCAAAACATGATACTAGGAACTTATAAAACATCCTAACATGATACTAGGAATCAAAATAACAATCTAAACATGATTTCTATATCATAATATCAATTAAACAATTAAAGCACTTACTTGGATGCCTCGTATCTCTTTCTAATAACAAAATACACACGTTAGTAACTTCAAGGAAAATATAAAGCCAACAATTAAATTAAATAATGGAAATAAAGATTAGGGATCAAACCCTCAGAAATAAAACATTTCACGTCTAGGGCGAAGGCAACTTCGAACTTTGCTAGGTGTGTCTAGATCTTGTGAATGTGGAATTTTGTATTTGAGAAAAGGCTAGTTTAGAAAAGAGAGAGAGAATATCAAGAATTTCTTGATGAGAGTTGGTGATTGAAAACAGAGGTTTTAGGAGGCTATTTATAAAGAAAATAGCCGGAATATGATAAAAAAGAATCAGAGTTTTGAAAAGAATAAAACACGACGCTGTCGCCTTACAAACCTCTGTCGCCAAACGACAGACGTGTCACCGTAGCGTCAGGCCTGTCGCTAGGCGACAGCCTGTAGTGCGGCGCTGCAGTCAATTTTTCCACGCGTTTTCATATTTTGATAAAATTAAAGCGTACGAAGGGTAAAACTGTAATTTCCTTTAAAAGACTTCTTTTAATCTAAATAAAACTCTTAAAACTCAATTACCAATGCTAATCAAATTATGATTCAAAGAACCTTTTAGAAGATTCTTGAAGACTATAATCAATCCTAATTTCATTAGGAATGATAAATCATAATAGGCCCTCCTCTAGATCATTGGGCCGCTTATAAAGATCAAACCGGGCCTAGTTTAGTAACTTGGTCATAACTTCCTCATTATTCATCGGAATTGGGCTTATAATATATCGTTGGAAAGATTTTTTCGAGCCCAATCCAACTACACTAATATTGGACCCTTGTTATGGACCAAACTAAACTGGATTGGCTATTTTCGTAAAATAGGTTTTCAAAAATAGAGAGAAAGAAAAGAAATAAAACTAACCGCAACACTAGACTTTCCACACTTTCACTTCATTTGATTATGATTCGACGTGAAAGGTATTCATCACTGGGTTTGGTTTTGGGGAGACATAAATGGGTGTCTACGGAAGCTCCCAATTTAACTGAGTTTGGAGAAACGCAAGTTTTGAAAACAAAAGTCAAAGTATCGATAGGTACGGAGAATGATTCAGAATTTTGTAACAGTGTAAAAAGAAGTGCTTCGAATCATTTCTATATGACTCAGACCTGTTCTAATAAAGTCGAGGCATTTTGAATTGTTTGTTGACACGAAAAAATTCAGGAAAAACCTCTGAAATTATTTCAATATTAGACCTTGGACATATAATAGTTCCAAATCGAATCTCTTTAGAAAGATGATCTTTTGTCTCATGGTAGCTTGCTCCAGTCCCCTTACGATACTTTCGTTATTGGGTTAGCCATACAATTTACATGTTTCTAGCGATTCACATGGCATCATCAAATGATACAAGTCTTAGATAAGAATCTGCAACGCACTAGAACGCCCTTATTGATGATCCTTTACTCCGACAGTATCTAGGGTTCCTCGAACAATGTGATATCAAACACCGGGTAAATCCTTAACCCTTCCCCCTCTTACTAAGACTACGAAATCTTCTTGTAAATGATCCTAAATCACTCTTCTAATGTCGATTCCTGCAAACTAGCGTTAGTTAAAACAGATAAAAGAGTTAAAGAAACGCGTATCTTGCACCGTCGAGCACACGTCTCTAGGAGTAACTGATTGTTGCATTGTTGTTGTGACAACCTTCCACAAGCTAGGGAATGCTATCTTGCTGCTTTGACGATCTTCCTCAAGGTAGGGGATACCGCCTGAAGACTACTACACTCATAACCGCCTCCATTTCCGCTATGATAATCATCTCTATGTGAATTCGACCCTACTTACCCTATTACATTATTAAATGGTTTTCTCTGGAGCATCAAGTAAAACTTGATGCTGATGAGCAACGCAGCCCCTAAATGTGCAAATTGACTTGTCACTAGTGGAAAAATAGCTATCCGTAACGGGCAACAGACGTTACGTATGCTGCCGTTACATATAGGATATGTTTTTGGTAACGGACAATTTGACTGCCCGTTACAAATAACCCGTTATTTGTAACAGACTGTTTGACTGCGCATTATGAAAAACACGTTATTTGTAGCGGGCATTTATCTGCCCGTTACGAATACAATTGAACCCAGATTAAAAAAAATGTAGGAAGTTATACCTGCTAGTCTACTATGATGCCAAAGTTTGATTACTATTATAAATATTCAATAATAATAAATGTAAAATTTAATTAGTACAACTTTCACAAATGTCCAAATTGACTTTACAATAACTTCCTAACATGAGTCAAAAGCTACTACATAAATAATACTCTGTAATACTACATGAAAATTTAAACAAGTGTTCTATTACATATTAGACTAAGAACTTGAATAATCTTATAAATCCTCATACAGCTCTGGTGCCATGTACTCTGGTGTACCCAGTATTGAGTGCGCTACATGGCTCTCACCCACTATTGCTGCTAAGCCAAAGTCACCGATTTTCACCAGCATAAACGAGCAGCAACAACCTAGTCAATGGAAACACAAACTAACAGGAAGTAAATTTAAGATTCGTTACATCAAAGGTTACATAACAGGCCAATAATTTGACTCAATAGTCTCAATTAACCCCAAATCAATAGTACATAACGGACAAATTAATGAAGAAATTATGGTATAGTTTTTTAATTCGATGAGTTTTCTACGCATGTGCTATATGCCATTGGATCATAATTTAGATAACAGGTTCGATAGTGGTTATTTCAATCCATTCACAATTCACAAAATTCATTGAACAGCTGACAACTATGAAACAATGGTCATGAGGAATGAGCAGTCAGAATAAAATTTTAAGAGACAGGATCACAGGATAGAAATTATTACATATTATCCATATTGCTTATTTAACAATTACAAAATTGAAACTAACTCATTGAAAGAAGATTAATAAGCATATTTTTAGACATAAAATCCCAATTCACAACCAGAAACAAAACGTTTAGCTTTATTCAACTAAAAATAAGAATTATCAAACAAAACATTAGCCAAAAAATCTCAAACACCACAAAAAATCCCAAAATAAGCATGAAAAAACGCATTCCACATCATTCACATCAATGTATTCAATCCCCCACTTCACAAAAAGTGAATCATGCTACACAACTACATCATAAAGAGAGTACCATGAGCAAAAGACGAAAAATCGGGCAAGAATTGGACAATCAGCTAAACTCTAGCGTATTAGGTGAACAACCCAATCACCCACTTTGTCTAAAACCAATCATATTCTCATAGAACAAAAATTCAAATCAAAGAGACAAAAAAAAAATCCCATAAATTGTTACTACCTCAAAATGGCAATCAAATCACTTCCCACAAACTTGAAACTTACAAAACAAAATCGAAAGCTCGACTCAATACAATGACATAAAAGCACAAGCTAATTAACTAAATCACCCCAAATTTTCAATCTCAAAAGCAAAAGAATGAGCAAATACTATCGAAAATTAGTATAATAAAGCAGAAACCTAACAGAGCTAACAAATCATGAACTAAAACAGATTCAATCTACAAAAACACAATCAATTCCAACAAAAACCTAGAACTAAACTTCCACCGAAAAATGCAAACAAAATCAATAACACAAAAAAAAAAAAAAAAAACAACAAATCGATCTACATCTCAAAAGAGAATAATAAGACGAGAAAATCAAGAATAAAATTATACTCCATCCGTTTCATAATGTTAGTCCCACGTGAAATCAATCACATAAAATAACAAAAGAAATATATTTGGAATCTAACATTAAACTACAACATAATTCATAATTGCATAGTTTAAGTAAAGATTTCTTTACTTAGAGTCATGTCATTAATACATAACTTATTAAATCCAAAAAAAATCAAGTTATAAATGAAATATATTCAATATGGGTATATCTTTTAGAAACGCCCGTATGAAACGGAGGGAGTATAAAGAAGCAAAAAATGCATAAATAATTTACAATTACAAAATAATAGAAAATTTCAGACTAAAATTAATAAAAACAGTACAAAATCCCATAAAATCACACCCAGATTTCATGACCAAATTCATACCCACGAAGCTAGAAACCCAGAAATGAAGAAACCCACAAATCCCATGAAATCCCCCACAAACCCTCACAAACATCACCCTCACAAACCCAGAAAGTTAGAAACCCCACCCTCACAAACCCACAAATCCCACGAAATCACCCACAAAATTTAACTAATTTGAGAGTAAAGCAACGAAAATTGAGGAATTTAAATTGAAAAATGTGAAAAGATTAACATGGTGTTGTATGTGGAAGGAGCAACAATGACGACGGCGGCGGCTTGATGTTGAGATGATAGATTTTTTTTTTTTTTTTTTTTGGAAAGAACGAGAGAGTGAGGAAAAGAGAGAGAAAGAGAGATAGAGTGAGAAAGATGAGTGAAAATGAAAGAGGAGAGAGGATAAAGAGAGGGAGGACAAGCTTTGACGACTAAGAGTGAAACCCTAATAAAATAACTAATTGGCTATGGGCTTTGGGCTCCTCTCATGATCAGTTGAACTAAATTATCTGTAACGGGCACAATATGCCTGTTACGAATAATATAATATTTGTAACGGATAGTATTTTTCCCGTTACGAATATTATATATTTGTAACGGCTAGTATTTTTCCCGTTACGAATATTATGTATTTGTAACGGGCGGTATTTTGCCCGGTACAAATATTATATATTTGTAACAGACTCCAATTTTGACCATTGCGGATATATTTAATGTAACGAGCATAGCTTTGCTCGTTACAAATTGCATGTTACGAATGAAAAATTTTCCACTAGTGTGTTCATCACCAAGAACGATGAGAGTGCAATTACGAGAGCGCGACAACTTGAACTTGCAAATGGAATTGAAACAGACATCTTGACCCCGAACAAACACCTACACAAGACACCAATTAAGAGGAGAAAACAAAAAAAAAAAAAAAATTTACGGATTAAGAACTAAAAATTTGAAAACTCATAAAAACTAATCGAGAAATAAAATGTGTTATTAAAATGTAAAATCAAAGAAAACTAAGAAAATTATATGAAAATAATAAAAGAACATATAGAAAAAGAACATAAATCTTATTCTTTTGAGCGCCATAAATTATGCTCATCAATGACATACATGTAAATAATAAAATATTGTGAATCCATTTTAATAAAAAAATGAAGTCCGTTGCTAAATGTGTCAAGATAAAGGGTTTTTTTTTTTCTCCAACAAGTTTAATGACTACTATAAGATTCATTACAAACACATTTATAGCATAATTTTAATTATGGTGTTATAGTTTATTTATAAATGTCAAAACTCTTAAAAGGCTCTCCAACATCATCACATCTTGTGTGCGGTCAGCCCACCAACTATAAAAGAACAAAGTAACTTTTACAATATTGACTAACTTTATAACACTAACTGAATGTAACCCTTGTGATTACTAGTCACTAGGGGTGAGCATGGGACGGGTACCCATACCGTTACTAACGGTTTGGGTACCCGATAACCAAAATTACTAAAAGTGATACCCATAACCGGAACCGATATGTTCGGGTACCCGGATTTTCGGATCGGTTATCGGGTACCCAATAAGATATCCAATAATGATAATTAAACTTAATTATGTAGTTATTATGATATAATTTACAACTAATTAAAAACAATACCATATGATCTTGACCAAATTATTAATAATATTACTAATCATTGATATTATAAAGTGATTATGAAGTAAAGTAAAAGTTTAGATTTATATTAATAGATTTAAGTAGGGAAAAAAAGTAAAAAAAAAAAATGTTTATCGGATCGGATCGGGTAACCATTAATTTTAAAATGATACCCATAACCATACCCGATAACAAATTATCGGAACAGGTACCCGAACCGTTATGGTTATCGGAATCGGGTACCCTAATTTTCGGAACGGTTACGGATCGGTTTTTCGGGTTTTTGGTTTTTCGGGTAGTTTTGCTCAGCCCTACTAGTCACACCTTACGACCAACCACTTATAAAAATTTGTGCTCAAACTTGTGATTTTCCCTCTCTTTACCTCTCATCATACTGGCTTAGGCTAGAAAATAATCTGATTTTCAAATGCATTTCTTTAATACAATTAAATTTTTTGTTCTCGCCATCTGTAAGATTCTTCTTCTTAATTTTCTAGGTTTTTGATTTTCATCTATGATGAGAATTCTATTATATTAGGGTTTTAATAAATGGGATGGTGATCCAAATTCGCATGGGGTTAAGTAATGTCATCATGTTTATAATCAAAATGACAAACATCAGAGCATAATGTGAAAATCTTTAATTGAAAAGATGCAAAGATATCAAAATTCATTGCCACATCAAGTTAGAAGCAATTGAGTATTAGCTAAGCTAAATATGGAAAAAAAAAAATTATGATTTTGATTGAAAACATTAAGTTTTTTCTCTAAATTTTTTGCTTACAAATTTATTATTGTAAATTTCGTATGGCTAATTATTATTAAAATTATTTTTCCCTTCAAAAAAAATATAATACTCCCTTCATCCTATTTGATCCGCAAATTATTTTAGACAATTTAATTGACTTAAATAAAATAATTTCACTTTCTAAGAATAATGGACACAGTCAAATTAAACTTTGCACATAGCACTAATTTGACCTTATATTTGCATAAACAAATATTAACGAAAATTATAAATAAAAAAAAGTTATATTATGAAACTTCATATCACTATCTATCTAACGACATAATTTATGATAAAATATATTTTTATTGTGTTAATAAAAACTATATTCAAAGTTAAATCGAATAGTGTAAAATTATCTAACGTGCGTCTCAATTATTTGGGGACAGAGGGAGTAAGAGGTAAATGGATGGGGTGTTGGAGTATTACAAAAATTGTATAAGGATAAAATGGTTAATAGTTTATCGAAAAGTAGTGAATGTAAGAGGAAATAATAAAAATTAAAATTCGTAGCAGTAGGTTTAGGTGAGTACCAACAGAGGAGAGATATATAAAGTAATGAATGTAGTTTTTTTGCTGAAAAAAGAAGTGTAACATTTTTATATAAAAAAAAACACACACACAATTGTATTTGTTAAGTGTAACCCTAAAAAAAAATACATGAGGGAGTACTATTTGTATTATTCCATATAGTCTACCACTCTACCATAATCATCAATCAATAATCAATAACTTAATACTAAAAGCGAAACTATATGTCATTCACTTGCTAAAAATTTTCCCTCCATTTTGTCTTTCCTTTTTTATTTTGTCGTTTTTTTTATTATTTTGTCAATTCTTCATGAAAATTATTCATACCCTATAATATTCACCTAATGAAATATTCTTATATGTATATATTTTATATTAAGTAATGTTTTTGTAATATTCACTACAAGAAAATTACCTTTTCGTAGCGATTATTTTAACCTTTAGTATCGATTGTAATTGCAACAAAAAGCTTTCTCAATGAATGGTCATTCGATACAATATCCCCCGTTGCCTTAGCCTTTAGTAGTGGTTTTCAATATCGCTGGGGTTGGCCTCAATAATCGATACGAAAAACTACATCCAATCGTGGTGATTATTGTAGCGATTACAATCGCTATAAATGTTTAACTCATTTTCTTCAAAGAAAAAAAAAACATGCGTATGATCTTTACAAGAATTCGAACATACAACCTCAAACTCTTATATTAAATGTTTCACCAATAAGATATGACATATTTTATGTATTCTTTGTCAAACAATATTTATATATCTAGTGTTGAAAAGGCTTTTCGTATCAATTTGTAGGATTTAGTGGCGATTGTAAATGTTACAATTTCTCAAAATTATATAAATGTGTAAAAATAGTGTTGATATGTATTATTATGTTTTCCGTATCGATTTTTTATGGGAAAACCATGGCGATTGTAAAAATGATACAACATTCTTAATTATTTCACAAACATACTTACATATTGTAGCGAATATACAATCGCTACGAAATAATCATTACGAAAAGAGATTTTTCTTGTAGTGATTCTCCAAGATTTCTACAATATTCTCATGCTAATATTTCTATAATAATCTCGTGCTAATTTATAATTTGGGAAAGCCTTACTTCTATATTAATCTCATGCTAATATTTTATTTTTTTAATAATAGTATATGTAGTTTCATTATTTTCCTCACCTTACTTATATATTATAATAAAAAGAGGAAAAAATTCACATTTACTACCAGCAAAAGCACCCCGTATCAGATTTACTATCTGTCTAAAAAAATATTTTATATTACTACCACCATATTTTCCTAACTGTAGAAATAACTACCAGTGACTAACTTCATTACTGTTTCTGTTTGAGGGGCCCACAACAATGGCAGCCACCCCTCCACAACAACGACACCCACCCCTCCACCCCTCCACAACAACGGCAACCACCCCCTCCCCCCTGCCGGCGCCGGCGCGACCCCACCACACCCCCTCCCTTTTCCCGTTGTTGCTGCCCCAACCCCCACCCCGTAACGCAAACTACTCCCTTTCCCTTTCCCCCACCGGAAATCGCCCCCCTCCCTATTCCCCACACCGAAAATCGCCCCCCTCCTTAACTGTAAACCACCAGCCCCAAACCACCCTAAACGAGGGTTTCGATTTCGGTGGTTTGGGGCTGGCGTGGTTAAGGATTTCCAATTCGATTTCGATTTCGAATTTAGGGTTTTGAGTGGCTGGTGGTTTGGGGCTGGTGGTCGGGGCAACAAGAAGGAGAAAGGGGTTCGTGGCTTCGTAGGGGTGGGGGAAAGGTCGAGGCGCCGCCGATGAAGAACTTGGTGGAGTTTCGCGGTGGTGGTGACGGTTTAGCAGCGGGCAGGTGACGATTTCGTGCACCGACCACGAGGTTAGGGGTGGTTGGCAGGTGGAGAAATGGAGGAGGTGGGGTTTGCCGATTTCGGGGAAACATTTGGCCACCAGCAAGGGGAGGGGGGAGGGTGGCAGACGTCGGGAAGGGGAGGGGAGATGTTTGAGATTTTTTTTTAAAGTTTTTTTTTATATAATTTAAATTATTATTTAGTGAAATATGGGGCCCACTTAACGAAATCTTAACGAATTCTGTTAAGTGGTAGCAATATATACAATTAGGGAATTTGTGTGGTAGTAAATTAAAATATTTTTTTAAACAGGTAGTAAATCTGATACGGGGTGTTTTCGCTGGTAGTAAATGTCAATTTTTCCTAATAAAAACCTATAACTCACTCATTTTTAAGATTTGAATTTTACATATATCAATAACTTAATACATACTAAAATCGAAACCATTGTTGACACATGTCATTCAATGGTTAAAAATTTTTCCTCCATTTTTCTTTCCTTTTTTATTTTGTCGTTTTTTTTTATTATTTTGTCAATTCTTCATGAAAATTATTTATCCCCTATAATAATCACCTAATGAATATTCTTATATGTATATATTTTATATTAAGTAATTTTTGTAATATTCTCCAAGATTTCTACAATATTCTCATGTTAATATTTCTATAATAATCTCGTGCTAATTTATAATTTGGGAAAGCCTTACTTCTATATTAATCTCATGCTAATATTTTTTTATAATAATAGTATATGAAGTTTCATTATTTTCCTCACCTTATTTATATATTATAATAAAAACCTATGACTCACTCATTTTTAAGAATTTGAATTTTACATATAGAAAACTAAAGTTGAAGTTAACAAAACTTGTATAAACCAATGTGTATGTCAAATTGTGTCAACAAAATAAGGACGGATAAGGTATATAACATGAGTTCTAATCATCAATCAATCAATAACTTAATACTAAAAGCGAAATAAGTGATGACATAATGTAATGACAAGTGTCATAGATATAAAAACCTATGTCTCAGCCATTTTTAAGAATTTGATTTTTACATATAAAAACTAAAGTTGAAGTTAACTAAACTTTTATAAACCAATGTGTACGTCAAATGATGTCAACAAAATCAATCAATAACTTAATATTAAAAGCGAAACCAGTGATGACACATGTCATTCACTGGTAAAACATTTTCCCTCCATTTTTCTTTCCTTTTTTATTTTGTCGTTTTTTTTTATTATTATATTTCCAATTCTTCATGAAAATTATTTATACCCTATAAAATTCACCTAATGAAATATTGTTATATGTATATATTTTATATTAAGTAATTTTTGTAAAATTCTCCAAGATTTCTACAATATTCTCATGCTAAATTTCTATAATAATCTCGTGCTAATTTATAATTTGGGAAAGCCTTACTTCTATATTAATCTCATGCTAATATTTTTTTTAATAATAGTATATGAATTGAAGTTTCATTATTTTTCCTCACCTTACTTATACATTATAATTAAAACCTATGACTCACTAATTTTTAAGAACTCGGATTTTACATATAGAAAACTAAAGTTGAAGTTAACAAAACTTGTATAAAACAATGTGTATGTCAAACTATGTCAACAAAATAAGGACGTGATAAGATATATAACATGGGTTCTAATCATCAATCAATCAATAACTTAGTACTAAAAGCGAAACAAGTGATGACAAAATGTAATGACAAGTGTCATAAATGGATTCGCTTTTAGTATAGGTTAATAGGTTAATATATAAAAACCTATGTCTCAGTTATTTTTAAGAATTTGATTTTTACATATAAAAACTAAAGTTGAAGTTAACTAAACTTGTATAAACCAATGTGTATGTCAAATAATGTCAACAAAATAAAGACACGAGTGATGACTATGATAGAAGCTTCGAAAACAGCAAAAGAGGAAGAGAGAATGATTGGCACAATAAAGAAATATGTGCACTTTGTTTCAACATCCGAGTACACTAATCTTACAAGTGACAACTTGCCTTGCAAGCTCCGTTTACGAATAGCAATCACTATGCGCAGTACTCGTACACACAATCCTTCAGCTCCGATCCACATAATGCAAAATAGTTCTTCCATTCATTTCCTACTGCTCAACTTAGCACTGCTTCTCCCCGCCACCAGCTCAGCCACTGCAATTCTAAACTGCCCCAACTGCGGCACAAAGCCTGTACCATTTCCACTCAGCACTTCACCAGCCTGTGGCAGTCCATTCTATAAGGTCCGATGCACAAAAGGAACTTTATGGTTTGATGCATTAAATGGTTCATCATACGTGATCACCTCGATAACTCCGAAGAGCCAGCAGCTGATAATCCATCCTCCAGGCTTCAACGGTAGCACCTGCATCACCACTGATTATCATGCTGGAGGTCTCTGGCTCGACGAGAAGCTTCTTTTTAATATCAGCAGCGACAACACCATTCTTAAACTGAACTGTCAACCTCTTGCTTTTATATCAGCGATGAACTGTTCATCCAGTCGTATCTGTTTCAGGCATGATATTGCTACTTCTACTCTGGTCATTTACGGTGTGTTTGGATTGAATGAAATGGATGGAAAGGAAGGGAAGAGAAATTGAGAGATGGAGTATCTTTCATTTGGATAGCAAATGAGGAAGAGAGAGAATTGGAGGGGAGAGAAATAAAATGATTAAATTGTAGGAAATTAATCCCTCCAACAATGGAGAGATTTAGAAGGAAAACTCATCATTCTTCGCTCCCCTCTCTTTCCCTCCCCTCCTCTTCTCCTCCCTCCCCTTTTTTTACTTCCCCTTTCTTTATCCAAACAAACTGTTAGGCATTTTTGTCGTCGTTACAAATTAATCTTCATTATTTTCCTGCAGGTTTATGAAAGAAAAGAAAGAGGTCGCATCAAGATGCAAGGATAAACATATATGTTGCTCTTTTACGGGAGGAGGTTCCCAAAATGATCACAACATAAAGTTAGCACCGGAGAAATGTGCTGTGTACACAAGCTTCGTAGGATTGTCATTGAATACTCCACTGCCCGTAAGTAAATGGCCAAAGCCTGGAATAGCAATAAACTGGGTTCTGCCTCCTGAACCAGTTTGCTCAACTGATATAGACTGCAAGAAGTTGCCAAAGTCATCATGTGTGCCCAGCGCTGTAAAAGGACCGAAGAGATGCCTCTGCAAAGTGCCATATAAATGGGATCCCATTAAAGGAGCGTGTTCTAGTAAGTTAATTAAATCTTTCTTCACTTCTAAAAAATAGTTTGCTAGTCCAATATATCTGTTCAAACAGAGTTTCAGTATAAAACTATAAATAATGCATCTAGTTGAAATATGTACAGTACGAATTTGTTGAATGATTAAATTACTCATAATGAAGTCAAATTTAGGAGTTATGACACTGTCAAATAATATACGAGTATATACCAGGGGAGTATTAATTTTTTGGAAATTTTGTCAACAGTGAAAGCACGTGTTAATTGAATTAACATAACTATCACAAAATTGTAAAAAATTGAAGTGGCACTACCACTCTAACAATTTTTGATAGAATCTCCGATATTTCAATGTTACTTTTTATCATTTTTTACCTTTATGAAGGGTAATTTAGTCAATTTAAATAATGATAATATTCTAATTTAAATTATTAGAGTGATAGAGCTACTTAAACCTTTTACAAGTTTAGGGTAACTTTTTTACATAAAAATTTAATAAATAATTATTTTCAAAACACGCGTTAGTTCTTGACAAAATTTCTTAATTTTTTCTAGTTTTTTACTTTAGAAGTTAGTTTCAGTCAAGCTTGTATAAACTATGATTAATTAATTACATGTCATGCTGCAACAAAAGCATCGTATTTGCTTTGATTAGCTCTGTTGTGCTACTTTGGAATCGTTTAATAGGTTAAATAAATAACTCTCAATTTAATATTCAAAAAGTGAAATGTATATCAATTATGTAAGGTAATACCATTTGATGAATTTGTTCCAAAATTTTCCTTAAACGTCCATCTAATGATATTGGACTCTTGATCTATTGCAGAGGTGAAATGTGAAACCAGCAAATGTCGAAGAAAAAGAAAACGAAAAAAGATGATTGCAGGTACATGGACTTATAAGATTTGCCAATGTGTGTATTAAACAACATACACATATTAAAATACATTTACTACAATTATAATTGTACATGGTTTTGTCATAAAAAAAATAAAAAAAATAAAAAAATAAATGTACATGGAGTTTCTTTGACTAATCATATTCAGTTTTATTTCAAGATAAAAAATTTGCTTAATTTGTTTCAGCTTTAACATACACTGGAGGTATAATAGCAATTCTAGGATCATTTGCAATCCTAGTATACATCCATCTTCGACGAATCAAACGAAAAGCACGTGAGCAATTAGTAAGAGAACGTCAACAGATCTTAAATGCAAACAATTCAAGTGGGAGATCAGCTAAGCTCTTTTCAGCAAAAGAGATAAGAGTATCAACAGGAAATTTCTCAAAAGAAAATGTTCTAGGTTCGGGAGGATTTGGTGAAGTATACAAAGGCATCCTACAAGATGGCACTATAATAGCAGTAAAAAGGGCTATTTTTGGAAACACAAAAGGTAATGATCAAGTGCTAAATGAAGTGCGGATATTATGCCAAGTGAATCATCGGAGTTTGGTCAGGCTACTAGGGTGTTGTGTTGAGTTGGAGGAGCCAGTTCTGGTGTACGAATACATTTCCAATGGAACGCTTTATGATCGACTACACGTATCTTGTTCTAATGATCATATTGAAGCACCCTTGAATTGGAATCAAAGACTGGCAATGGCACGTCAGATAGCTGAAGGCCTTACATATCTGCATTCCTCTTCTGTTCCTCCTATCATCCATCGAGACATTAAGACAAGCAACATCTTACTCAATGAAAAGCTAGATATCAAGATCTCAGATTTTGGTCTCTCGAGAATAGTGGATAATGAAGCAACACATATGACTACTTGTGCTCAGGGGACTTTGGGGTATCTTGATCCTCAGTACTATCGAGACATGCAATTGACAGACAAGAGCGATGTGTATAGCTTTGGTGTTGTTCTGCTAGAGCTACTTACAACACGGAAAGCTATCGATTTTAGCAGAGAGGTTGAAAATGTAAGCCTTGTTTCATACATGAGGAAAATGGTAAATCAGCAAAAACTGCTGGATGCAGTAGATCCCTTTCTGGAAAAAGGAGCCAGCAAATTAGAGCTGGAAACTATGAAGTTGATTGGAATTCTGGCTATTTCTTGTTTGGATGAGCAACGGCACAATCGTCCTTCAATGAGTGACGTCAAGGACGAGATAGAGTATATGCTTCACATCATTGAAGACAAAGGTGCAAAATAGAATTGAACACAGCAGATCTTGCTGAATACTTTTTTCATTTCAGAAGATGAACACTTGGGTCAAAGGCCTCAAAGCATCATGTTTGCTTAGTAGAATTTCTTAAATAATACATGAATTTTGTCTGTTTTCTACAAATAATTTATATATTATCATATCTCATTAGCATAACCAACGATTAGTAATAATAATTTAGGTCGGTTTAAAAAAACATTCAGCTGGAGCGACACCGCTTCGCTAACAATACTAGCAGGCGTCATCTTCTCCTAACGTCTCTCAGCCCAAGGAAACAATAACATCTCAATAAAGGGCCAAAGGGAGATCGACATAGAACTCTCTAAGAGAAAGTCAAAAGGGACCCGTACACTAGTAGAAAATTATAATTGGGCACCGAGTAATGGCCACCGGTTTTTAAAAACTGGTGGGAAAAAAAATGGGCAGGATTGGAGAAAAGAGAATTGGCACTGGTTTAAACCAAACCGGTGCTAAATTACTTAAAGGGCACCGGTTGAAATAGGTGGCGTTACAAAATCCCTTTTTTCTCTTTGTAAACCCTCGTTCAGCTCATTTCTCTCTCTTGTTCTCTCTCCCCGTCTCTTTCTCTCTCTTATTTCTCCTCTCTACTTATATCTCATTATCAACAACCATCAATGCCGCCGCCATCTCTCTCTAATATGCATCTCTCTCGTTTGCTCTCTTGCCTTAGTTAGGGCTCATTAATGTTAGTTAGGGCTTAGTTGCTAAATCTCCCCTAAAACCATAAAACTCTAGCGAAAGCTCAACAATGGCGGACAAAGGCGACATGGAAATCTCTCTCGGAAAACTCCCTATCAAACACCTCAAAATCATCAAAGAATTCAGTGCCAAACGCTTTTCCCCGTACTTTCTCTCTCCTCCATTTATGTAATAGCTTAATTTGACCTAATTTTTTCTGCAATTTTTTTGTGATTTTGATTTGAATTTGTGGAATTTTCTCAGCGAAATTAAATACGAAGAGAAAACGGTGAATTTGATTCGGCGAATCGACTTTGCTTGGGGGTTAGAGAGAGATGCGAAGAAGTAGAAGAAGACGAAGGAATCATCTGCACCTTCCACGTTGCAAGGGGTGATTGAGAATTTAAGATTGGCTCATCAAGAGCTCTCCGTTATTATTGATCTAATTAACACTGTAAGCTCCTTTTACTACGAATTACAGTGATTTTATTTTAAGCTAAATTGAACACTTATACAAGCTGTTTTTGGTTGTTTTTTTTTTCTGATTTTTTTGCCATTTAGATATTAGATTTGTAACTTGTTTGATAAAATGTATTAATTATTGATGTTAGTTGAGACGATTAATACAAGAGGGGGGTGAATTGTATTGAGTTCCTAATGACTACTTTTTGCGGAATAATAAACAATGCATATAGGAACTTGCTAGAACACACAGATTTTACAAGGAAACCTTCCAAGGCCCAACTGGAAGTAAAACCTCGACCTTGCCTTAGGGATTTCAAACACACATACTCCACTATAATAGAGAAAACACCAAGTTACAACCTATAAGACACGAACATTTATTTTCACAAGATCCTCACTGGACTAGCTACTTGATAGGACCCTATCCTGCCCAATCTAAGTACCATACTTAGATTCACTCGTACCACCTAAGTACTACACGTACTGCCAAAGTACAAACTACTTGCACCACCTAAGTACAAAACTCTCAACCTCACCTCGAAGCTTACAAAACTGTATGTAAAGCAAACAATAAACTCACCCAAATAACCCAACCCAATACAAGTGAACGACACCTAGAATGATAGGTAAGCAATGCACGAAATCGGAAACTAATATGACAAGTTAGAAGCTTGGTAAACTTACTCAATTATAGCACTGTGATTACTCCATGCATAAACTCACAAAAACCTAAAACCATTTTGCTCTCTACTATTTATACAAGTATGACTCGTATAGAAAGTAGTTTTTCTAAAAGATAAATAAGTTAACTTAACTTATCTTTAAACACGGTTTTATGTAAATCAAGTGGAATAAAATCTTTTTCGGAAAATAAGATTAAAATGATATTTGTTAAAAAGATTTATCTTTTTAACAAACTGATTTAAAGAAAACAATCTTTTAGAAAATCTTTTCCTAAAATCTATCTTTTATAATTTTCCATATTATTTTATTTACCAAGCCAACTTGTCACGCTTCTAATAAATTTCGCGCAATAACCTACTTATCATATTAACAATAATCTAGAAGATAAAAACCTTAACAAAATATAATTGTTGCGTCGTGCTTTTAATCAGGTAGATTACTTGGGCTCCAAGCTTATTAAGTTCCACCAAAGAACTTAAGCTTGCTGTCTTCGAGTTCCTGTTAGGGAGCGTTCATGTTAGGGAACTTAGTTCTTGTTAGAGAACTAGTTCTTGTTAGAGAACTCTTCTTCTGATTTGTTTAACTCCTTCAATAAAGATCTTTTCATGTCTTCTTAGTTCCAGCTACTTCTTCCATCACCACGATCAACTTCACCTAAACTAATCAAACACTTGAAAACCTTTATTAGTTGAATTTGCTTTAGTTTAAGTTCTTCATCATCAAAACCTTTATGCTTCAATAATTTCCCCCTTTTTGATGATGACAAACTTAAGAAAACTCTAGAAACAAGTTAAACAAAATAGAAGGTCGTATTTTTGTGTTTTTGGTTTATTGACAGAAAGTAAACACACAAAGAAATAAAAACGGAAACAGAAAGAAAAAAACAAAAACAAAAATAAACAAAGCAAATAAAACAGAAATAAATTAAACTACTATAAACTACTATAGCATCATATCAGAGAAATTTCTAATACTTTCTCAACTGGAACCCAGAACAACTTTAGCCTCCAAGTTTGCTTTTTCCCCCTTTTGGCATTATCAAAAAGTCATGTTTTTCACGTTATTGAGCATCTAGACACAGCCTCACAAGCAATTCATCGAGTGTGGGAAACTGAAGGCAGCGCTGCTAAGTTACCTTAAGCAAGTTCAACTTTCTTGCATAAGTGTTCATTACATACATATACACACAAGTATAAGCAAAGTTCCAACTATTCATTAAAACCAAAAGATTTATCATCCTGTTGAACAATTTTAGAAAATTTACAACCAAAATCAATTGTTCAAACACTAAAACAGAAATTAAAATTGTTCATGACTGAAATAGAGAAGCAAAAAATAGGGTAGGCTTGGATATAGGCTGAAAAGGGTATGATAGGCTAGGTTTCAAGGAACTCCAGAATTTTCTTATAGTCCTCCTTTGTTTGTTGTGAAGAAGCTGCCAGATTATCTTCAAGACTCTTGAGTTTCAGAAGAAACTCCTTCTTTTGTTCCTGTAAAGCCTTGTCTTGTTCTTGCTGAAACCTCTTTTGCTCTTGAAGTTCTTTATCCTGTTTCAGCACCAGCTTCTTGAGCTCTTTTAACTCCTTTCCCTGCTCCTGCACTAGCTTTTCCAGAGTTAACAACTGAAGTTTTCCAGCAGAATCCTTAATTATCTTCTCAACCCTTTCCATCATGTCCACCAATTCTGCAACTTGCCCACCGAGGATACCCTCCTCAACATCCAACTCTAGAGGTTGTTCCATGCTTGTCTGAGGAACAAAACTAACAGATTTCCTCCTACTCTTTCTTACAGGCTGCTTAGACACCTCTTTCTTTTTTCTCTTCCCTGTCACCTTTTCTTTCTTTTTCTCTCCCTTCTCTATTCTTTGAATTTTTCCTTTTACTACCTCCAAACTCAGTCCAGCTAGTGTTTCCTCATTTAGCACATTCTCTGGCTTCTCATCTAGAGCACCATACCTACCCATCAGAACCACTCCGGCATTTTCAAACACAGTTGATAAAATGGCTCCATAGCCCACTTTGTCCTACTTAGAACACAATGTGCTAAGTGCTAATACATTAACGCAGGGAAATTAACTTTAATTTTCTTAGACAGACAAAAAATTACATCCATATCCATCAAGCATGCCTCTCCCTTCTTTGCAGTTCTTGGCAAGATGGTTTTCTTAGCTAAGTTGAACAACAACTTATTTAACGGGTTCAAATCATTGTGACTCATGATATTCTTCCCCCTTTGACCACCTAGGGCTTCAACAATGTCACCAGTCAAGTAATTTCCTACTTTGACACTAGATTTTCCCTTAATGTATTTTTCATACCCCTCACTCAGAGTTTTTAGAATTTTACGTAGGGTTTCAACATTTAATTCAATTTTTACACTATTAACTACACTAGAAATTACCCCCAATTTTGCTTGAAAATTTTGACAGAACTCGGTCATAGCAATTGGATACAAATAGTTTGCTGAAACTTTTGACAACAAGTATTCCTAGCCTTGAAACTTAATCAAATCAAGAAACTCTAGGAATCTAGCTTTCCTACACCAATCTAGATCAATACGATGTCCTACAACATACGTCCCTGCCTGTGACTCAAGTTCGGCCTGATCAATTACCTCCTCTTCTTCATCTTCTTTTTCTGATTCTTCCTTTTCTGAAATGTTGGGATCTTCTTTGTCTTCCTCTCCCTCATTCATCTCTCCTCCTTCTTCATCATCTTCTTTGGTCTCTTCTGGATGTTTTTCTTGAGCAAACTCGTCAACTTCTTCAATTCGCTCCTCAAGAGACTTCTCTCTTTGTTTCTTTTCTTTCCACTCTTTCAACCTTTGAAGGACACTTGAAACAGATGACTCTTCTTGGTCATTCTTACTTTCCACTTCTTTAGGTTTTGGAGATGAGGTTTTAGGATTCTCAGGGGTTTTGGTTGAAGTTGAAGATGGTTTGTAGTTCAACATGGCTAAAGGCGATGTTTCCTCTTGAATGGTGTTTTCGAAGCTTTGAGAGTTTTCTGATAAGACGATTTCAACAATGATGACCATTGTTGTTCTAGAGATGGTAAAATTCAAGAGGATTTTTACTGGAAAGAGGTTAATTGATTTGACAGTGGGGTGAAAGAGGTAGGTGAAATCAGCTTTTATAATTAATGAAGCGGTGTGAGGGATTTTAAAAGATTTCACTATTCAGTCGTTAATTGAACAAATTCAATTAATTTTTCCAATTTTAAATTCACAGAATTAATTTGCTAAAATACTTTTCTCTCCAAATTCATTTAATTTAAAAGAAACTTTCTATAAATACACAATTGGAACACGCTTTTTACATATGTGCAATGTACATATTTAATAACTTACACAGTTAAGCAATTTAATGAACTTACCTTTAGTAATTAACAACGGTGACACTTCAGCTATGTTTAGCACACCATAATTGTGCTAAATGCTCTTTTTGCTCTATTTCCAATATTTTCGACTTTGCCATATATTGGAACTTCAGAAGCAATCAATTCAGCTTGATCATCCAAAGTTCCAGTCTCAATTTCTCAAATCTTTCTCTGTTTAAGGGTTTGGTCAAAATATCTGCAAGTTGATATTCCGTATTACAAAATTTCAATTTAATATTCCCTTGTTCCACATTATCTTATAGAAAGTGATGCCTAATGTGGATTTGTTTTACCTTAGAGTGCTGAACTGGATCTTTAGAAATACATATAGCACTTGTGTTATCACAGTAAATAGGCACACATTAAAAAATATGACCAAAATCTCTAACATGTTGCTTTATCCAGAGTACTTGTGAACAACATGTTGCGGCTGCCACATACTCAGCTTCAGTTGTAGATAATGCAACTGTGTTTTGCTTCTTGGAACCCCAAGAAATTAAACAAGGTCCTAAAAACTGTACCATACCTGAAGTGCTTTTTCTATTAACCAAATCACCTGCATTGTCAGCATCAGTAAATCCATTTAAATCAAATGAGTCACTTCTAGGATAGAAGAGACACAAGTCATCGGTTCCTTTCAAGTATCTAAGGATTCTCTTTATTGCTTTCAGGTGAGACTCCTTTGGGTTTGCTTGGAACCAGGCACACAACCCTACACTGAAAGATATGTCAGGTATACTAGCTGTTAGGTAAAGTAGAGATCCTATCATACCTCGATACATAGGTTGATCAATACAAGTTCCAGTTGGATCTTCATCCAATCTAGTTGCTAAACCCATTGGAGTATCATTGGTCTTAGCATTTTCAAGCTTGTATTTCTTGATCAGTTCCTTGATATACTTTTGTTGATGGATCATGATTCCTTTTTCAGATTGCTTGATTTGCAATCCGAGGAAAAAATTTAATTCTCCCATCATGCTCATTTCAAACTCTCCACTCATAAGGTCAGCAAAATACTTGCACAAAGATTCATTAGTTGCACCAAATAAAATATCATGAACATAAATTTGTACAACTAATATGTCAGTTCCATTTGATTTTAAAAACAAAGTTTTATCTATTTTACCACGTTTAAAACCATTTTGTAATAGGAACTTTGACAATCTTTCATACCATGCTCTAGGAGCTTGCTTTAGCCCATAAAGAGCTTTGTCAAGCTTGTAGACATGGTTTGGGAACTCTGAATTTTCAAATCCAGGAGGTTGTTCTACATAGACCTCTTCATTAAGAAATCCATTTAAAAATGCACATTTAACATCCATCTAGAAAAACGTGAATCCCATATAAGCAGCAAAAGCAATAAGTAAACGAATAACCTCTAACCTGGCTATTGGAGCAAATATTTCTTCATAGTCTATTCCTTCTTGTTGATTGAAACCTTGTACAACAAGTCTTTCTTAGTTTCTGACAATAATCCCATGCTCATCTAGCTTATTTCTAAACACCCACTTTAAACCTATAGTCTTCTTATTCTTGGGTCTAGGTTCCAAATGCCAGACTTTATTTCTTTCAAACTCATTTAGTTCAGCTTGCATAGCATTAATCCATTCTGCGTCAGTTAAAGCTTTAACATAGTTCTTAGGTTCCATAGAATAGAGGAATGCATAGAATGCACAGAAGTTTCTAAGCTAAGATCTGGTCTGAGTTCCTTTTGTAATATCACTCATGATTGCATCTACAGGATGTGACTTCTGATATTTCCATTGCTTAAGTGTAAAGTCCTTTACTGGATACAATTTTTCCTGATCATTGTTGACTGGTTCTTCTATAGGAACTCGTTCTTGAGCCTTAGTTGGAACTTCAACAGGATCTTTCTCATTCTGATTTTGATTCTGTTCTTGAGGAGGAGTTCCTTGTGTATTCTCCATTTCTTGATCTTCATTTGCTTCAGGATTCGTTTGCTTAGCAATTTTAACTTGCTGCTTCTGCAATGATGTTGATTCTTCTTCTGGATATGTCTTGCGTACAAGTCCAATTTCAAAATCATCATCACAATCCTGTACGTCATTCAATTGTTCAGTTTCATCAAATATGATATGTACAGATTCCTCAACACACATTGTCCTTTTATTATAAACTCTATATTCTTTACTTTTAGAGGCATATCCTAAGAATATTGCCTCATCAATACGTTCATCAAACTTTCCTAAGTTTTTTTTACCATTATTATAAACAAAGTATTTACAACCAAAAGATCTAAAGTAAGAAATATTAGGCTTTCTCCCTTTGATTAGCTCATAAGGAGTTTTGTTGGTGATGGCTCTAACCGATACTCTATTAAGAATATAGCATGATGTTTTCACTGCTTCTGCCCATAAGTTCCTAGGCAAACCACTTGAGATCAGCATTGTTCTAGCCATGTCTTCAAGGCTTATGTTCTTGCGTTCCACCATTCCATTTTTTTGTGGGGTCCTTGGGGCAGAGAAGTTGTGATCCATTCCATGCTCAGTGCAAAATTCATCAAATTTTGAATTTTCAAATTCAGTTCCATGATCCGATCTGAGGTGAATCAGTGGATTACCTGTTCTTCTCTATTCTTTCTTTACAAAAGCTACAAATTCATCAAACGTTTCATCTTTACTAACAAGAAAGAAAACCCAAGTAAACCTTGAAAAGTCATCAACAATAACCATAACATATCTCTTACCACTTCTGGTTTGGATTCTTATAGGACCACATAGATCCATATGAACAAGTTCCAAAGGTCTTTTGGTACTTACCATTTTCTTAGACTTAAAAGAAATTCGAGTCTGTTTTCCTCTAACACAAGCATCACACACTTTGTCATACAGGAATTTAATGCAAGGAAGTCCTTACACTAATTCCTTATATCTCAATTTATCAAGTAATGTAAAGCTTGCATAGCCAAATCTCATGTGCCATAATAGAAGATCATTCTCAATGACACTAAGACAAGTTAAACAGCTATTAGGAACCTCGTTAAGATCCACAACATATGTGTTCCCTTTACGAGTTCCTTCTAAAATAATGTTCCCAGTGTCATTGTGAATGATTTTGCACTTATTGGAAGTAAAGCTTACAGAGTTACCTTTTTCACAAAATTGTGAAATACTTAACAAGTTGTGCTTGAGGCTCTCGACCAAAAATATATTATCAATTGCATGGGAAATTGACCTTCCTACTTTGCTAATAGCAACTATATCTCCTGTCATGTTATCACCAAAGGTCACAGTTCCCCCATAGTAGGCATCTAGTGAGAGAAATCTAGATTTGTCTCCAGTCATGTGCTTAGAACAACCACTGTCAAGGTACCAAGTGTTGTTCCCCTTCACTAGAACCTGCATGAGAAATCAAATGTTAGTTTCAGGAACCCAGGTTTCCTTGGGTTCCTGTGTAACAGCAGCAGGTTCATCATTCTTGTTGATCCAAATCTGTTCTACGTGTTTTTCATTTCTTTATGTACAATTTTTTTTCTTCGAACACTTAACTTGTTTTTGTCCAGTATTGCCACAGAAATAACAAACAATACTACTAGGCATGTCAACATACTTCTTTTCCTTTTGGAACTTCTTTTTGAAACCCAAACCTTATGTTCTTTTAGTTTGAGCTTTGGTGATCCAATCTGGAACTCTGTATCCTACATGTTGTTTACCTTTCCTGGCTTTCTCAAGTTCCCCCTCAAGTCTTTCCTTATCCGCTTTTATATCTTCCAAATCAGATTTTAGTTTTTCAAAATTCGGATATTGAGCAAGTGGAGGAACTTCAGAATCAGGAGTATCAAGACAGAGTTTCATCAAGGATAGTTCCACATTTAACATTATGTTATCATGTTTCAACCTGTCTATAGTTTCTTTCAAATAATTATTATCATCAAACGGACTAAAGAATCTATATTGAATATAAAATTTCATATTATCAACCCACTCACTGTTTTCTTTAAAAGTTACCAAAGCTTCATCACTTTGTTTTTTAGCTCTATGCAATTCTTTCAATTCGTCTTGAATTTCTAAAACTGCAAATATTAAGTTTTCTTTAGAGAAATGTCTAAGTTCTTTTTTAGAAAACCATACCTAAGATTCTAGTTCCTTCAGTTTTGCTTTTTCATCAGTTTTTGCCATCTAGCATAGATGCGCAGTTTCCTCTAACAGTTGATCTTCCTCTTCTTCTGAATCCGAATCTCCCCAAGCAGCCACATGGCTTTCTTCACATTGTCCTTGGTGAAGTAAGGCTTATAGAATCTTGATTCTTTGGATTGCTCCTTGCCCTTTGTCTTTACTTTCTCACTATCTGGTAGTGGACAATATTTGATGAAGTGATCTTTAGACCCACATTTGAAACAAGTTGTGTTTCTGGAACTTGCATACTTCTTGTTCCTATCAAACTTCTTGTAGTTTATCATCCTTTTGAACTTTCTAACTAGCATTACCATTTCTTCCTCATCAGCTTCCGATTCCTCTTAGTCTGGAGCCTTAAGAGCAAGACTCTTGTTCTTGGAACTTTCAGTACTAGAACTCAGGTGAAGTTCATGAGTCATCAATGATCCAGCTGGTTGTTCCATGTTAAACATCATGAATTCCTTGGCTTCTTGCATGGAAATAACCTTGGATCTCCATCGCTCATATTGTGGTAGGCTCCTTA